AGCTGTGGGGCACAGCTCCTCCCTCAGACACATGGGTACCTGGTCCACTGACTCCCCAGAGCCAGACCCTGGGCTTCTTGTCATGACCCGTCCCTCCGTGAATGTGCCCAAGATTTGAAAAATCCAAGGTTATAAGGGGAGATTCATATACAATGTAAGTTTAGCCGAATAGTATTTTGGGGTCTCTCAATATCAGTAATTTTATAGTACTCATGACCAGTCCCTACTTCTGTGGCCTTGTGTGGCAGGAAGTTGTTTGTCCTTTGGGGGTGAGGACAGACATGTTCATATCCCACAAGGGCCACTGGACACACAGATGCAGGTGGGATGCCCATGGCTCTCAGGGCCTGGGCGAGGCCTCCGTGCCTTCCTCTGGAGCCAGTCCCGCCCCGTGGTTGCCACACTGCTGGAGCTCACCTGCGTTGCAGCCTAGGGTCAGCAGATGTGCTAACCCCTTTGTCCTGTCACAGCCCCATGGCTTGGCCCAGACCTGAATTCATGTTAGGGGCGAGGACACAGGTGCATAGAGGCCGGGGCTGCGTTCCACACGCAGGCCTCCCGGCCCCTGGGGGTGTGAAAGGTGCCATGAGTGACCCTTGGTGCCCAGGTGTGTGGGGTTGGGGCTGCCCTTGGGGTCGCTGCTCCATCGCACCTGAAGGTCTGAAGTATCTCTGGACAGGAGAGCTGGTTACTCACTTGTGTCCTGATGTGAGTGTGAGCTGTGCCGTGGAGTGTGGCTGTGAGTGGCTGACCCTGTCTTCCAGGGCGAGGCTGCAGCTCTACCGGACGCAGAACATGGGCTGGGGCGTGCGGTCCCTGCAGGACATCCCACTGGGCACCTTTGTGTGCGAGTAAGTGTGTGCCCGGCTGCTGTCCTGGGGAGGGTGCTGCTGGGTAGGGGGCCCCAGACTCACTGAGGGGGCAGCCCTGCCTGCCTCTGGTGTTCCACCTGCACTTTCTCACCATCCTGTGGCTTACTTGAGAAGACCCGCTGGCATTTGGAGATTTCGGGGGTCTGTCATCTTGGATCCCTGGTCAGATGGAGAGTTTCTGTGTCCTCAACTTCACGAACCCAAGTTAAATCCCAGTTTGGTCCCAAGCAGAATTGTCCATGATGCTCAGGCAGTTGTGTTGGTCCTCTTGGTTGCTCTGAGTCAGGGGTAACCAGGCAGCTCGCCTGCACTTCTCCAGGTACGTCGGGGAGCTCATCTCTGACTCGGAAGCGGACGTGCGGGAAGAGGACTCGTACCTCTTTGACCTTGACAACAAGGTAACGCGCGAGGGGTTGGGGCAGAGGGGTGGGGGTGTGAAGGGACTGTCAGCGTGGAGGCGTCTGTTCTGGCCAGGTAGGGCATTAAGGAGGTTCGCCCAGCGTCCGGCACTGGCCTCCCTTCTGGGACCTCGACCTGGGAGGTCCTAAGCTTGCCCAGTGAGCCTGGTGTGAGAGCGAGGGGTCTGGGACGCATCACTGAGCCCCACCTCCCCGGCGTGGGCTAGAGCCGCTGAGTGTGTGGGGGCCAGGCGTGCGGGGTGAGGGCCACACACGTGCACGGGTGGGTGCCTCCTCCCATGGCCCCGGCCATGGATGCAGGTGGGGAGTGGGACCCAGGCTTTGTCCACCACAGGGCCCTGCTCTCCAGAGCCTCTGAGACCACTGCACGCTGCCCCCTCGCCCCAGCCTCGGCCCGCCGTTCCTCTCTGAGTGTCGCAGGAGAGAAGCCTGGGCTCCAGGAGGCTGTGTCTGGGGCATGGTGACCCGTCCTGTGCCGCGTGCACGTGCAGAGCTGTAGCCACGAGGTCACCCCTGCCGCCACATCTGCTAAGTGATCAGCCTCTTCCTGCTTGGGTTCTTATGGGCTCGATCACGTCGTCTGTGGCTGCTGGCTGCCCCGGGTGGGTTGCGCGTGTAAGCTATCCCGGGTTACGTCCCCTTCCCTTGGGGTTCTCAGGCGTGTCTGCTCTGTTTTCTCTCTTGAACTTTCTGTGTGAGTTTTAAAACCGACTTGCCAAGTTCCACAGAACTCTAGTAGGGGTGTGATCGGCACAGCCCTGAGCTGTGGGTCGGATCGGATCACCAGGTCTTCGCCACCATTTGTAGGTTGTGAACACAGAATATCCCTTCACTTGTTCACACTTTTAAAATTACCCCTAATAATGTTTGTTTTTGTTTTGATGTAATTTGTATTTTCTGTTGTTTTTAACAGTAGGTTTTTTTAAATCAACTTTATTGCCAATAATTTGCATACAGTGAACCTTCTTCAGATGTATGTTTTAGTGCTGACAGGCGTGTCTGCCGCTATAGTCACCTGCACAAGGAAGACGTGGCCGCCTCTGTCACGCTGAAACCCTCCGTGGGCTGGGGCCCCGTGGCTGGAACCCTGTAGGTGAAATCTGGTCGCTCTCCTGTGTCTGGCTCTGCGCCTTCCTGATGGGCTAGGTGACCAGGACGGCCGGCTGGGCTGCGCGCTTGCCCTGGGCGGACCACTGGTTCCAGTCTGTGCTGTGAGTGGCCTGCGGTGGACTGACTTGGCATCTGTGGGTGCACGCGTCTGTTTCTCTTAGGCGAGTTTTTGGGGTGGAACTAGCCACCTGGTGGTTGCGCTCAATCGCTTTAGAAGAAACACAGTTCCCACTGCGGTGGTCTGTGCCACCCACACTCCACCAGCCTGGAGTGGTGCTCGGACCCCAACCAAGGAGGCCCTGGGCGCAGAGCCCTGCCCACACCCTGGTGGGGGCCTCCTTGGTCTTTGTGAGCAGCGGTTCGCCAGCCTGACGGGGCCTGACCACCGGACCACAAGTCGTCAGAGCGTCACAGGAAATCTTTTTTTTTTTAACATTTTTTATTGATTTATAATCATTTTAAAATGTTGTATCAAATTCCAGAGTAGAGCACAATTTTTCAGTTGTACATGAACATATATATATTCATTGTCACATTTTTTCCTCTGTGAGCTACCATAAGATCTTGTATATATTTCCCTGTGCTACACAGTATAATCTCGTTTGTTCTACAATTTTGAAATCCCAGTCTATCCCTTCCCACCTTCTGCCCCGTTGGCAACCACAAGCTTGTATTCTATATCTATGAGTCTGTTTCTGTTTTGTATTTATGCTTTGTGTGTGTGTTTTTCTTTTAAGAGTCCGCATATGAGCGATCTCATATGGTATTTTTCTTTCTCTTTCTGGCTTACTTCACTTAGAATGACATTGTCCAGGAGCATCCATGTTGCTGCAAATGGCGTTATGTTGTCAGTTTTTATGGCTGAATAGTATTCCATTGTATAAATATACCACCTCTTCTTTATCCAGTCATCTGTTGATGGACATTTAGGCTGTTTCCATGTCTTGGCTATTGTAAATAGTGCTGCTGTGAACACTGGGGTGCAGGTATCTTTTTGAAGTAGGGTTCCCTCTGGATATATGCCCAGGAGCAGGATTCCTGGGTCATACGGTAAGTCTGTTCCTAGTCTTTTGAGGAATCTCTACTGTTTTCCACAGTGGCTGCACCAAACTGCATTCCCACCAGCAGTGAAGCAGGGTTCCCTTTTCTCCACAGCCTCTCCAGCATTGGTCATTTGTGGATTTTTGAGTGATGGCCACTCTGACTGGTGTGAGGTGATACCTCATTGTAGTTTTGATTTGCATTTCTCTGATAATTAGTGATATTGAGCACTTTTTCATGTGCCTATTGATCATTTGTATGTCTTCCTTGGAGAGTTGCTTGTTTATGTCTTTTGCCCATTTTTGGATTGGGTTGTTTGGTTGTTTCTTATTAAGTCGTATGAGCTGCTTATATATTCTGGAGATCGAGCCTTTGTTGGTTTCATTGTTTGCAAAAATTTCCTCCCATTCCGTAGGTTTTCTTCTTGTTTTACTTCTGGTTTCCTTTGCTGTGCAGAAGCTTGTAAGTTTCATTAGGTCCCATTTGTTTATTCTTGCTTTTATTTCTATGGCTTGAGTAGACTGTTCTAGGAGAACATTTTTGAGATGTAGGTCAGATAATGTTTTGCCTCTATTTTCTTCTAGGAGGTTTATTGTATCTTGTCTTATGTTTAAGTCTTTGATCCATTTTGAGTTGATTTTTGTGTATGGTGTGAGGGAGTGTTCTAGCTTCATTGATTTACATGCTGCTGTCCAGTTTTTCCAACACCATTTGCTGAAGAGACTGTCTTTATTCCATTGTATATTCTTGCCTCCTTTGTCGAAGATGAGTTGACCAAAAATTTGTGGGTTCATTTCTGGGCTCTCTATTCTGTTCCATTGGTCCATATGTCTGTTTTTGTACCAATACCATGGTGTCTT